TCTCTCTCTCTCTCTCTCTCTCTCTCTCTCTCTCTCTTTCTCTTTTTCTCTCTCTCTGTTTGATTAGAGACACCTATTCTCCTGTTCCATTTATTTGACTAGACCCAGCGCTCATTGTCAAGGTCCTACTCATGTTTCTCAAAACTGGAGGCACCTAGTGCATAAATTAACAAATAAAGAAAAGTTGATATTAAAGTATTCAGTTATATTGACCTGCAACTTGACATTGATCTGCAACTGCATAAAACTAGAATCAATAAATGTTATTGCATGAATAAAAGGAAATAAACATTTTACTTATATTGTAAGTTTTGTTGGAAAATATGTATCTTCCAAACCCTTCATTTCTAGCATGGCAGCATGAAAAATAAAACTAAAAATCTGTCTCAAATACATCAGAATATAGCATGTCTAATATAAAACTAATATAGTGATATTTAAAATGAACTTGCTGATAAAATGAAGATAAGATGCCCCCTTCTTTGACTTTAGAAAACTTTGAGAATCTTTTAAGTTTTCACATGGTCCTTCCTGTACAGGAGTCTGTCCCTGAAAGCAGATTATATATATATTTTGCTTTACTCTCTGCATTTCTTAAGAAATCTTTACAAAGATGAAACAGAATATTCCAAATGGAAAAAAAAATGTTCACTGATTCTTTAACAAAAAATGGGGAGTAAGAACTTTTTTTAAAATCCCTATAAAATGCAATAAATGGATGTGACCAATCATTCATCATCCATATTTTTAAAAGTCCCAGCTGTTCAAATGCTGCAAGGGAAATTTTAAAAAAGAACATTCTAAAGAGATATGGAACGTTAATTTTCCCACTGAGTAGATCTAGCCCAGCAGTTCTCAACCTTTGGGTCACAACCCCTTTGGAGGTTGAACAACCCTTTCACAAGGGTTGCCTAAGACCATCAGAAAACACATATATAATTACATATTGTTTTTGTGATTAATCACTATGCTTAATTATGTTCAATTTGTAACAATGAAAATACATCCTGCATATTAGATATTTATATTACGATTCATAACAGTAGCAAAATTACAGTTATGAAGTAGCAACGAAAATAATTGTATGGTTGGGGGTCACCACAACTTGAGGAACTGTATTAAAGGGTCGTGGCATTAGGAAGGTTGAGAACCACTGTACCTATTCCCTTTATTGGTCTATGATGAAGATATCTGCTTTGAAGTGTTAGGAATTTTCCATGTCATTAGAATGAAACAATTTAAAAATTATCACATTAATTTTAATAGCACCTTTCAGGACTCCATTTCTTTTGAAGAGATTTCATATTGAATATTTGTTATTATGACACTATCCACTATCCAATTGACAGGGAAGATTATTTTCATATGACAAATAAATGGGTTATGTATGGAGCGGAGGCTTCATGACTCCTTCCAAATCATCCAGCTATGGTTTGGGGTATGTTTATTTAAAAATTTGTTCCTCCAGGCCAATTGCTCTGTTTGATGCTAATGAATTACTTTGCATATCTGTGCACTATGTGGTATCATATTCTACTGTGTGGGGTAGTGACAGATAATAGCATGGTTTGCAGATGTTGAGTTGATGACTTGCTGTAATCTAGATACTGTGCAAGTTATGTAAACTTCCTTAGCCTTCTTTTTCACGTGGATTTTTTCTACTCATCCCTTCTATTATCACTGTAAGAATTCAAAGACTTATTACACGTAAATTAGCAATGTAGACCTAAACCAATGTTTGTTGACAGTTTTTCTCTCTTATTCCTTTTGTTTTCCTCTTTCCTTTTCATAGTAGCCTAGGGCTTGAAAGTAAAGAAAAAAAAAGTGCATAAGAAGCCAAGTTTCCATATAAGCATCTGGGATGGTGTGGGTGGGTGAATAGAGGAGGTGATATAAATGTAGTTTTGTAATATGTAGCCTATTATGATAAAATGTCAATTAAAATGGCTACTGACATTTTCTAAACAGCTGTATTTATCCAAGTTAAAATTAAAATAAAGCTACAGACATTTTCCCCAATTTATTATTTTTATTGGGTTACTGAACACTTTCCCCCAAAACAACAAAACAGTTGTTTGTTTGACTTCATCATTCTTTGATGAAGAATGTAAATTACTTTGGGACCCTCAAGACAGTCTCAGTTGCATTTATTCCTGGTGAAAAATACATGCCATTCTTTTCCTACATTTTCTTTTCATTTTTTTTAAATAGAAGGTGAAGTTTGTTTCTCATTAAAGTTTTTGGAGTTATACAGCAAGGATATCTAAGCTTTGAAAATGTGATGGTTAGAGTTTAAGGAACAAGGTAAATTTTGTATGCAAACTTTCTTAGCAGCATCTCAGCAATCATTTTAAGTACCTGCATCAGTAATCCCGAGGAATTATTAGGCCATTTAAACTGGGAGCGTGCCAGAGACACTTCTCAGGTCTGCAAATTACAAAGATTTTGATTACTTGGTATCCATTCTAATAGGAAGACAGGATTGGTGTGTGTGTGTGTGTGTGTGTGTGTGTGTGTGTGTGTGTGTGTTTTCCATTTGTATCACAATGAGTATGTTATACTGTGATTGCTCAACTTCTCCATTTCTTTCATAGCTTGTTCCTCCGAGACCAGTGGGGAAGAATGTGGAAGCGCCTGTGATTGTCAGAATGGAGGCACCTGCGATCCTCTAACTGGGCAGTGCCAGTGCCCCCCAGGGGTGCATGGGAAAACCTGTGAACATGGTAGGACTGTCTGGTGCTGGTCACATGAGACAACTCTTTAAAGTCTTGAGACTTACTTATTTGCTTTTCATAATTAAAAGGAGGAAAGATGAAAATCAGAGGGAAAGAGGAGAAGAGGGAAAGAGAAGAAATTATGAATGAAAACTTACAAAATGCCATTGAGGCTGTGTGTGGATTTCTCATAGAGACCAGGGGAAAGGCCACATTTTCTACATAGGTTGATAAAGCCAAAAAGTGAACTGCTTTCCCAGGCCCAAGAGCTGAAGACAGTGAGTCAATGAAGATATGTCTTTAGGGATTGCCAGAGATCATGAGGAGTTTATTAGGGTCCCACAGATCATGGAACTGGGGAGATGGAAGCCAAGTTTACTTCACTCTCTTGAGAGTTACATGAAGGCTCCTACTGATGTCCCAAATATTCATTTCCTGGGATAATATATATTCATTCATTCAAATTATATAAAGTCTTTGCAAGGCACTGGGCCACACATTATGATATGGTAATGTGTGCTTTGTGATCAGAACATGAGGAAAAAACAGTCAGTGTGAGCAACTTCTAGAGAAGGTGCACTGCAACAAAAGCTTGCAAAATGAGGGGCATGAGACAGGGAAAGTGTGAGGGAAGAGCATGTCCAGACTCTGAAGTGGGTAGGAGTGAGGTGCCTTAGAGGAACCCGGTCAGCTGGTGGAGTAGAAGTCCTTCGGAGAGTATTAGTGCTGCACGAGGCAGTCAAAGTAGGGGCTCATAGTCTTGTTAAGTTTGGAGTTTTAATCTGACAGGAGTGTCCAATCATTACAGAATTTAGGCAGAGGGTAATTTTTAAAAGATCTCATTAGCCTCAGTCCACCCAGATTGGGAACATCTCACCTTTTGCGAGCTCCTTATTTCATGTAACAACAGCTCTAGCAAGTTTTGCATATGGGTTAATGTGTGCTTTGTTTGTCCTCCCACCTCTAGGATGCCCTAAAGGACTCTTTGGGAAGAACTGCAAAAGGAAATGTAACTGCGCCAACAATGGCCATTGCCACAGGGTGTACGGTGCCTGTGTGTGTGAGCCAGGGCGCTATGGGAGGTTTTGTCATCTGAGTAAGTCACAGGCACTACATTTGCTCTCTGTGTGAAACAAGGAGGCTCAGAAAAGTACCAAAAATTAGAAAAAGGAAGAGACTAAAACCATAACTTACACACACACACACACACACACATATGTATGTATATGTGACAATTTATGTTCTAGTCTTTGTTTAGACTTCTTATTTTAGAGACTCTAGATTTTGATGAATGAAAGAAAACTATTTCTGAATTCTTTACGTGTTTTTCTCATTAATGTTTACCTTAATTATTGAGAAAGGAATGCTACTAGCTCATTTAGAAGGAGGCTTGGCACTTTGTGGGAGCTGCATATTAAAATGAACAGAAAAAGTTTCCATTATTTCTGGGTTCTAGTGCGTAACAATATCATTCCCTAAAATTTCTGCAACAGGCTATTTATTTTGCATTTTGGCCATCAATCATGTTTTGCAAAAGATGTGAGAACACACAATCACCAATGAGTACTTCAGTCTCTTAAGTAGCTTATAGGATTTCTCCTAAAGGGACATCTCTGGGTGCCCACCATCCCATCTTGTAGCTATGTTCGAGCACCTGTGAGCCTGAAACATTCTCCACCCTGTCCCTCTACCTGTTCTGTGTGCCCTCCTCTGAAAGTCCTCCCAAGTGGACCTCAGAAATACCATGACCCATCCTCCTATCTAATAAAGAGGTAATATGCAAGTTGACCATCACTCCAACACACAAGATGGCCTGCAGGGGAGGGCAGTTGGGGGGACCAGGCCTGCAGAGGAAGGCAGTTAGGGGCGACCAGGCTGGCAAGGGAGGGAAGTTAGGGGTGACCAGGCCAGCAAGGGAGGGCAGTTAGGGGCAATTGGGCCGGCAGGGGAGCAGTTAGACATCAATCAGGCTGGCAGGGGAGTGGTTCAGGGTGATCAGGCTGGCAGGCAGAAGTGGTTAGGGCAATCAGACAGGCAGGCAGGTGAACGGTTGGGAGCCAGCAGTTCTGGATTGTGAGAGGGATCCCAGATTGGAGAAGGTGCAGGCTGGGCTGAGGGACACCCCTCCCCCTGCATGAATTTCATGCACTGAGCCTCTAGTTTCTTAATAACAGATACCTTTTAGAGTTTTATATTGCATTTTTAGTTGATTATCCATGGATTTTGTCTATTTTATAAAGGTATGTCCTGAGAAAACAGAGAGTAAATTGTGACTCCAAATAGAGAGCCAGGAAGGCATCATGGAAAGCTAAACCTGGGTAATGAGAAATGGTCTTATTTGACAATCTAAGGGAAAAAAGGTCAGTCCCCTGACTAAATAGTCAGGTATTGCATGTCTTAAAAATTCTTGCAGCACACCAGTTGAAAATCGCTGCTCTGGGATAACAGGGTACATCCCATTTTGTAGCAATAACTTTTGAATATCTTACAAGGCAATACTAGATATTTTGGCCAAAAAAACACATTAAAATCATAACTCATCTGGTCCAATATTTGAAGAGCAAATGGTGGTGGTGGTAATAGTAGGGATAACAGGGTACATCCCATTATGTAGCAATAACTTTTGAATATTTTATAAGGAAATACTAGATATCTTGGCAAAAAGCACATTAAAATCATAACTCATCTGGTCAAATATTTGAAGAGCAAATGGTGGTGGTGGTAATAGTAGTTAGCATTTTGAATGTGACCATCTTTCAAAAAGATATGCACATTTCAATTTTTCAATACTTTTTGCTTAGATGTGAGGCCTCATTTATGAATGCCACTTGCCTGGCCCTGAGAAGCTTCAGTTTGAAAACCTATATTAATTTTCTAGAGCTGTTGTAAGAAAGTGCCACAAACGGAGTGCCTTCACTGACGGATATCTATTGCCTCACAGTTCTGGAGGCTAGAAGTCTGGGATGAAGGTGTTAGCAGGCCATACTCCCTCTGAAGGCACCAGGATCAGTTCCAGACCTCTATCCTAGCTTCCTTCACTTATGACAGCATAACTCCAGTCTTCACATGGCATCCTCCCGGTATGAGTATCTCTGTGTCCCAATGTCCTCTGTGTATAAGGACACCAGCCTTATCCGATTAGAGGCCCATCCTTCAGTATGACCTCATTTTAACGGATTACATCATTGATGATGTAGTTTACAAATAAGGTCACTTTCTGAAGTACTGGGGTAAGGACTTCAACATATGAATTTTTGGAGGACATATTTCAATGTATAACACTGAGTAGACACTGGATTGACTAAAGAAGTTACTTCTCCCACTTGTCCTTTTTTTTTCTAGTCACATTTCCAGTGATAAGTTCTTGATATACCCACCTGTCACATTTTAAATACTCCATTGTGCCTGAGCTGGCCACTGAACCACTGTTCTGGATGCTGAGCCAGAAAGAGTAAGGGCATGGAAGTCAATGCAGGGAAGAGTTCTGGGATGAACAAGGAAAGGCCTGCACCAAGGAAGATAATATCTCTGAGAGACATTGGGGATGGTGGGGCTGGGGAAGAACTCAATACTTGGAAGCCACAGGAAAGATGAACAAGGATTAGTATAATTTATCATCCAAATGAGATAATATTAACAGTGAAAAAGGAGCCCTGTTAATAATTCTGTTCTGCTTTAGAGGTAACCCTGTCCATCCTGGCAGGGACAAGAATCACCCTACATCATGGCATTGTAACCACCACTCTCAATTATCTCTGCTAATAATAGTAGATATTAGAAGATGTTAATTTCCATTCACCAGAAAATCCATTGGCTTATTTTGTTCTTTAAAAGCCTATATAGGCATACAGTACAATTACCTTGAGCCTGGAGGGCACTTGAAGGATCTTTCACTTGCTAAGTCCCTTGGACATCTGTAAGGGAAAGAAAAAATGGCCAGAGGTGTATTTTGGAAAGGGGATTGAATTACTGTAAGTAACTCCTCAAAGAGAGACCTAAGGGTAGGCTTTCCTGAATGCAAAGGTAGGGTTTTCAAGTGATAATTCCTGTGCTCTCATTCCATTTGTAAAACCTGATTGCATGGGGAAAATAGTGAAGGAAAGGCAAGCACCATTTGTCAAAGATGTAGCCAAGATAATGCTACTGTCAGGATGAAAGTTTTGTGTTATCTACAGAATGTAAAAGTATTTCTGATTACCATATAATGAAAGGGAAGGGGAACAATGGTGAGCTTCACAACAGTGCTTGTCCATCATCTCCATGCTGTGGCGGATGAATATGGGGCCTGGCAGGCCTTTGCAGTCCTTGGAGAATTTTAACTAAGGGCCCCAATGGAGCACATTGAGAAGCAATTTCTACCAGAAGCCCCAAAGCCTTTTAAGTAGTGCAGGCTTCACTGTTCACATCCACTTGCCAAAAAGCAAATGAATTGCCTGATTTGAAAGACATTTGTTTCCCTCGTTTTTTTGTTTTTTTCTTTTGGCAGTTAGGATGATCCCCTCCTTTCCCCCATAATCAGGCCCTGCAGAACTACATGCCTGTGCACTAACAATGTGGAAAAAACACCAAGGTGTGGCTTTCAGGTGACAGTTTGCCTCAATTTGCTTGCAGACTGTCCCAAGGGGGTCTATGGGGCTGGCTGCTCTTCAGAATGTCAGTGTGTGGAGGAGAACACCCTGGAATGCAGCGCCAAAAATGGCAGTTGCACCTGCAAATCTGGTTACCAAGGCAACAGGTGCCAGAAAGGTACAATCTGATGCTAAATTTTCTTTCTTCTCTAATAACAATGCTCAGCCTTTGTTCAGCACCATCTGATCATTAATTATTTCATCCGCCAGTGTTCTCAGGAGATGGGTAAGCTTTATTAATCCCCTATTTGCAGGTGAGGAAACTGAGACACAGGGCAATAACCTTATTTAACCTTGCCATCTCAGCCTCTGCTTTAGCTGTCCCCTTAGGAGCTTGGGCAAGGAAGGGAAGAAAGATCACATTGCAGAGAACCTTGTCGTAAGAAGATTAAAGCTGGTCCGTCACTTCTTTGAGGTGAACAAATCAACCAAGGGCACTGCTAGCTTTCAGAGTAAAAAAAAAAAATTCTCTTTATATCTAAAGACAGATCATTCAAACAAATTCACCTCAAAATTCTAACCACAGAAACATGTTGGAAAATTTAAATCTAGTTATCAGTGTGGTCCTTTTGCATATTTTTAAGTATTACATAGTTTTTTAAATAAATATAGAAATATAAAAGTTTATGTACATCCTAATTCCAATTATAAGTAACATATGTTGATATAAGTGTGTCAGTGCATAGAAAAATTGAAAAAGGGTATTCCACGTTTTAGAAATGGCTGTCTCTACTGTGGTCTCATGGAGATCTTCTCCCTGGGTATCTGCAGGGTTCTTCCACTTTATCACCAAGCCTTAGGCCACCTTTTCACTGAACCTCCTCAGTACCACCCTCCTTAAAATTGCAACTTGTATGTCTTTTTGAACTCTTATTATTTTTTCCCAAGTGCTTTTTATCTTTAAACATAACATATCCTATAATTATTATTATGTCTAATATTTATTGCCTGTCTTGCCCACTAGAAGCTAATCACTACAGGAGAAGGGTAGCTGTTCCTTTTGTTCAACAAAGTGTCCCCAAACTCCAGAACAATCCTGACATCCAGGACTTGGTCAATAAGTGTGCTTTGAACTGAATACATAAAATGAATCTTTAATTTTATTTTTTATAGATTTTTTCTCATGGTATCATGTATTCTGCATTAAGCACTTGGTACTGCTTTATTCAGGAGAAATTATCACAGCGAGACAGAACATATAACAAATGAAATGATCATAACAGCAAGGTGAACTATTTGCCTTTGACATGATCCAAGAACAATCTTTTTCCCCACTTTAATATATTTTTATTGATTTCAGAGAAGAAGGGAGAGGGAGATAGAAACATCAATAATGAGAGCAAATCATCCATCAGCTGCCCCCTGCATGCCCCCCACTGGGGATTGAGCCCGCAACCCAGGCTTGTGCCCTAGACTGGGAATGGAACAGTGACCTCCTGGCTCACAGGTTGGTGCTCAACTACTGAGCCACGCCAGCTGGGTAAAGAGCAATGTTTTCTAAAATCAGGAGGACATTTGGTGGTTTTATAACCAGTCAATCAATGGGTCTGAGCTGCCTGTCACTATTTTAGCCAATTCAGCAAGAGACAGGGTTGAATCAATAATGCGAACAGTATGGGAGAGTAGCAGGTCAACCACAAAAATCTGCTCTGTCCTCCACCATAAGCCAGCTGCTTATATTGGGTAGAAAAATGAAGATTATATGGGGAAGTAGGCAAAAGGGCATGGCAAATGGGTAGTTTACAGGTAATGTGGGCTGCATATTTGCAAAGGCCTTTGGATATGCAAAGAGCTGACTGCTCTGGTTTCTACAACAAGGTTTTTAATCTTTCCATGATAATAGACAGCTCCAGGATGGGGAGGATGGGCTGCATTTCCAAGTGAGCTCCCAGGTCCTGCATGCAACTCCCAGCCAGGTTAGAATGTGCCTTCTTTAATCAGAACAATGCAATCACAGTTAACAGAGCATGATTAATACTTCCTACAATTATAGCTGATCCCCAACATTCTATTTCTGCCCCTATCAGGTTTGAAAGGAGGCCATCACACCTTACAGTCCATTCACAGAGACAGGCCCTGGGCGTAGAGCTGTCTTTGGTCTTTGTGTATCACAAGTGCTCCTTGCATGATCATCTTCTGAGAGTTGCAGGGCCTGTTGGAGGTGACTGAAAGGGAGAAAGTGCTCTAGGTCTCCCAGGTCATCCTGTGGCTATGGAACTGGAGTGTGTTAGCAGCAATGTCCGTCTAGATTTCATGGAGCGAGGGCTATTTAGGGAGCTGGACTGTGACTTTTTAAGCAATGGGGAAAAGTACTTGGGCCAGAACCCTGATATTACACAAATGTGTTTTCCATGGTGTAAGAGTGGGTCCCAGGCCAAATCTCTCAGCCTCCTTCTGCTTCAACTGATTTTTAAGGCTAGAGTCAGCCCCTTATTCACTTCCCCACCAGAGAATCCATGGCCTGGAAGGCAATGCATGAGGAGACAATACCATATACACACACACCTGGGTAAAGTTAATTTATGCTGATAACATTCTCTTAAAGCAGCTGCTGAATATACTTTATTGGAACATGCTTCTGAGATTCCCACTGTGAAGAAAAATGAGTTGAAAGTATATGCAAATCAGCAAAATAGAGAGGTCACCATAATCTCTCAAAAACATATTATTTTTCAATCAGATAACTTTGTCCAATTCTGATATTTGTGTCTAACCACAAAATGAAATTATGAATCAGACCTGAGTGGGTGAATGGGATCACCATGATTGGCAGCTGAAATCAAGGCAAAAAGAGCTCTCCAAACCATGGGCATGATGAAAATCAGGCCTGTTTTTCTTTCTCTTTTTCAAGTGCTCCTAGAGCCAGACATGTCTTTAAAAATCTTGACTCCATCCCTGTGTCTCGATTGCAGATGAATAGTTAATTAAAGGCTGCAAATTGTTTCAATGGCACTAATGAACAGTGCTCTCCACAATCAGCACCAGGACTTACTCAGCCCATCAGTCATGACTTTTAAGAGCAGAAGAGCCAGTATCTACAGGAATCTGTGAAAGAGCAAAAATGAGAGAGAGGAGAAATAAAATCCAACCAATGTTTTTGTTTTGATTAGTTTGTAGCCCGGGGCATTTTGGGCCCCAGCTGCAGGCAGACCTCTGAATGTGGAGGACTCTGGCCCAGCCGGCCCTGGAGTCCATCTAAGGAGGCTTATTCAACCCTTATATCATTATAATAAGGACAGACTTATGTTACAATTGTTCCACATTGAATGAACTTCAATTTGAACTCTGGTGTCTCTCGGTTAATAGACTTGACAGGTGCTGAGTAGCTAGTATTGCAGCCTAAGTTTGCTGTAGTGCCGAGAGCCAGAAGATCTGGGTTCGATTCTGACTTTGCTTCTTCTGAGCTGTTTGGCCCAGAGTAAGTCCCTTAACCTCTCCCAGCCTCAGTTACCTATTTAAAATGAAGCTAAAGTTGCTTATGTTGTACAGTAATTTTTATGCAAATGTGAGCTAATGTATGTAAAGTGCACGGCACAGAGTAAGTGATCAAGAGATAATAGCCAGAAATGGTTTAAACATCCCAGGAAATTTAATAATTCTGTTATTCAGTGAAACGCTGCCCAGGAAAGAAGATACTTCACAGGCCAACTTGGTCTGATGTAACTTCCCACAATTGTGATGTGTTTAGAAAAGTTTCACCATTGTCTCCGTGTTGAAGGAATGCTTTCTACCAGGTTTCTAATTCCAGTGGTTTTTGGTAGGATGCAGGCGGAAGCCTCTATCCGAGGCCTCAGAGGTCCCAGCAGCATCAGCCCTCTTTTCCAGCTCAAAGGCATTCAACAAAGCAGCACGTTCTCCTCTTTGTACATTGTTTGCTCCTATAAAATACACAAATTAGAAGCCCCTGGGGTGGTTCTTCTGGCTTACAATAGAAGCAAAGACTAGGAGAAAGGATTCAGGCGACCATTTGGGGACAGCTTCCCAAGCATCGCTCCTCCTAAGCTTCCTTTACAAATTACATCTCATTTTCAGGTTTTGTTCTGTGCAACTGCCTCCAAAGACATATATCAAAATCGCTCCCATTGTCACTGTCTGAAAAACCACATTTTCAGCAAAAACACAACCTCTGTATCTGTGTTTCCAACGTGACAAGATACAGCATCATGTTGGTTTCTTCAGGGAATATTTTTGGAAGTGCTATAAATCCTTGGAGGCTACTCAAATGTTTCTTTGTTTGCAGCCCAGGGGTACACACATGCACTCACTCGCACACATACACACGCACACACACATACACACGCAACACTTTTCCAACTCACTTACCTGGGACCATCTTGATTTATTACAAGTCTTAGCTCCTTTCTTTCTGTCTTTTTACTTGACAAGCCTGCCCTGATGGACTCTTGGGACCAGAGTGCCAGGTCTCCTGTGGACCCTGTGAGAATGGAGGTCAATGCAACAAAAAAACCGGAGACTGTGACTGTCCTCCTGGTTACACAGGAAAAGACTGCACCACACGTAAGTCATTAATCTAGAAAAGATAACCAGCAAATCAACAAAGTTGTTAGATTTATAAATGCTTTTTTTCTAACTGATCTATGAGGTGTTTTGATAGGGTACATCTTTCAATTATCTATTGTTGCATAACAAACCATTCAAATATTTTGTGGCTTAAACTGATGATTTATTATTTCTTTTGATCCTGTGGGTTGATGAGATGCTTCTCCTGCCGGTCTTACTTGGAGTCACTGGTGGCTGCTTCCAGCCAGTTAATTATCTGGGAAATGGGATTGAGTGGCCTTCTCAGACAGGGGACCTAGCCTTTCCCGTATATAACATTTCCATAAGGTTAGCTTGGGCTTCCTCATAGCATGGCAATCTCAAAACAAGAGTCCAAGAAGGAGTGCTCCCAAAGTGTGAAAGTGGACGCCATAATGTGTCAGAAGCTTAGCTTCAGAAGCCACACATCATCATTTCTGCCACATTCTCTTGGTTAAAACAAATCAGAAAGCCAGATTCTACCTCTGATCAGAGGAGTAGTAAAATCGCATTGCAGAAGGTCTGCTAGCTGGGAGATAGGGTTGCAACCATCTTTGCAACCAAGTTATCACAGTATTTGAAGTTATGCTGAGATGAGAGGCACTCTAAAGAATCTGTTAGCCCTAGCTGGTTTTGCTCAGTGGATAGAGCATTGGCCTTCAGACTCAAGGGTCTCAGGTTTAATTCTGGTCAAGGGCACCTGATTGGGTTGCGGGCTTGATTCCTCAGTAAGGAGCATGCAGAAGGCGGCCAATAAATGATTCTCTCTCATCTGTTTCTATCTCTCTCCCTTTCCCTTTCTCTCTGAAATCTATCTATCTATCTATCTATCTATCTATCTATCTATCCATCTTACCTAATAATAGACAAACATGTAAATTGACCATACCTTCACTATGCTACCCAGACAATCAGAAGAGTATGCAAATTAACCTAACAAAGATGGTGGTTAATTTGCATACGTAGGCTCCACGCGGTGGAGCGAAACCTGACAGCCCCGGGGCCGGCGGAGCAGCAAAAGCCTCATGGCCCCCGGGGCCAGCTCCGGCTGGAGCCCGGCCAGAGTGAAGGCCTGGGTGCCAGGTGCACAGTAGGAGCACCGCTCAGCCAGAAGCTGGGCTCATGGCTGGCAAGTGCAGTGGTGGTGGTGGGAGCCTCTCCTGCCTCCGCGACAACTCTACAGATGTCCGACTGACGGCTTAGGCCGGCTCCCCATCAGTCGGACATCCCTAGAGGGCTCCAGGACTGCGAGAGGGCACAGGCTGGGCTGAGGGACCCCCTGCCCCCCGAGTGCACAAATTTTGTGCACCAGGCCTCTAGTATCTATCTATCTATCTATCTATCTATCTATCTATCTATCTATCTATATACAACTCTAAGGATGTCCCACTGACGGCTATCGGATATCCCCTGAGGGCTCCCAGACTGCGAGAGGGTGCAGGCTGGGCTGAGGGTCCCCCTGCCCCCTGAGTGCACAAATTTCATGCACCAGGCCTCTAGTATCAATATATATAAAAGCCAACCACTGGAACACTGGAATGACCAGAATGACCGGTCACTATGACGCCCACTGTGGCCTTATCTGTGGGTGGGGCCAGCCGGCCAACCTCCTGTGGCCCTTCCCCCTGGCCGGCTCCACTCCAGATCAGCCTCCCACCCCAATCAGGGGCAGGGCCAGCCAGCCAACCACCCATGGACCCTCCCCCAGGCCCTGGCAATCACTAATCTGCTTTCTGTCGCTATGATTTTGCCTATTCCGGACATTGCATATAAATGGAATTTTCTGACTGGCTGTTTTCACTAAGCATCATGTTTTCAAGGTTCATCCGGGTTGCAGCATGAATCAGTACTTTATTTATTTTTAAAATCAATAAAATATATTTAAAAAAAACAACAACAACAACTTATAAAAAAAAAAGTCATTAGATAAAATGAATTTGTTTCAAGGAGCCAGTAGAACTACTACCTTGCTGCTTCCTTTTCTGCTTGTGATTCTTACCTTACCTCTGTTGCCCCTGCCTGTCCTACCTTCTCTACTCTATCCACAGTGGGACAGAGTAACCTGAGAGCTTCAGGAAAGCTGTGGGCTGGATGCTAATATTGGTATTTTCTTTTGTAATTTTTTTTTCAGTTACAATTGACATACAATATTACATTAGCTTCAGATGTACAAGTTTAACTTACAAAGTGATCACCCCTATAAGTCTGATACCCATCTGACACCATGTATAGTTATTACAATATTATTTTTACATTGCTGTTTTAAATATGTCTAATAAAGGTTAGGATAAGTCTGTTGTTTGTGATGATCTTTGATTTTAAGAGGTGAAAATGGTGATTTGAATTAACTTTCAGTGCTTAGGACTTTCTATAAACCAGCAAGCAAGTAAAACCAGAAACCTAAATGTAAACATAAAATGTAATACCAGGATGGTATTTAGCACTTAGTTCATCATCTGACCATTTTGGGGATGCATTGTTATCCGTAAGGACAATGTCCATGCCCAAAGACTTTTCTGGATATAACTAGGTGGTTTTTACTTTGGGACTGTTATTCTGGCTCTGTTGACAAACATTTCTAACAGTGTAAAGTGTGCTGCTGCAGCAGTTGGCTAGCCCTAACCTACTTGTTTGCTTTTTTAAAAAAAGCCTAAAGGTAAGAATTTACATATTCAAAAGGTAGTTACCTGCTATTTCCACAGTGAAGTGACATTTTCTGTCTAACTCAACTTTAATGGAATAATTATTAAGCAGATAGTGACAAAGTTTATACTATTCCAATTGTCATGGTGACATAAATAGACTATTTAAAAACTAGTGAAGAGATAAACTGTTCATTCTTTAAAATATTAATGTAATAATTATGTTACAATTCTCTTCCATTCTAGGATTTTAAACCCCAGCAGAATATACCATGATAGTGCCGAGAGATTTTTTATGACAAGTAGTAGGGTCTTAATTTTGTTGGCAACCTAATATGAGATAATGTATTGAATAGAATAGGCAAAAATATTCCCCATCTTCTAGTCCAGTTCAGTTTTTGTGTTATGTGCTATTATCTGATTTTACACACATAAACAGAAAAGACAAATTATATAATCATTATACTAATATATTTAGTAAAATGAATGGAACCAAAGGGTAGGACTTATTAAAAATGCTTTGTGCATACTCCCCAAAGAATGCATGGCATTTAAAAAGAGGTTTGTGTTTTAAGAAAAGCATACATTTCTCTAAATATCCTGTTATGATGCTTACAGAATTTTAAAACCCAGTTATTCAACATAATGATCTGCAAAAATGCTTATAAACTATACAAGGTAATAAGTTTTAGAGGCAGGAAGGATCAAAAAGCTATTTCTAAAGATATTAGCTTTATATAAATTCTAATTTTTTTAAATTTATAAATACAATTACTTGGGGAAAATAATTCCTTTTTTAAAAAGGGTTTTATTTCACTTTGTCAGAAAACACTCTATTATGATAGGTTGTATTTTTTTTACACTCCCTAATCAGTATTGAGGAAGGCGGAAAAACACTCTGTATTATGATAGGCTGTATTTTTTTTTACACTCCCTAATCAGTATTGAGGAAGGCGGCAGCTATGGCTTCATAGTTATACTCACACCCTCGACAAGAAAGTACCATCTCAGACAAGGACAGTTTCACTCTGTATATATGGCATTTTACCAAGTAGTTTGAAAAATGGTCCCAGCTTTTTCTTCATCCCAGCATCTACACTAATAAAAGAGAAACATGGTAATTATCTCACACCCTCGATAAGAAAGTACCATCTCAGACAAGAACAGTTTCACTCTCTATATATGGCATTTTACCAAGTAGTTTGAAAAATTAGAGAAATTTTTCTTCATCCCAGCATTATTTATAATAATAAAATACAAAATAATGGCAACCTAAATATCCACCAGGAGAATGATTAAAAATAATTCTATAACACATTAATAAACTATTCTGAGGCCATTGAGATTCATGTTTTGGAAGAATGTGCAATGTCAGGAGAATTGACATTAAGCGATGTATATAAAGAATGATCCAAATTTGTAAAACATGTACTCATGTGTAAAAATGGAAAATTGTAGCAGAAAGGACAGTAATTGTTCACACTGGCCATCTCTATATGGTTGGACTATGGGTGAATGTTTTTCTCCTTTGTACACTTTTGTCTTCCCCATATTCACTACTTTACATTTTCCCCTTTAACAATCTGGGGATGGGGAAATTAATCATCTTCGGACAAATCATTGACTAAATATCCAAGTAAGATAATTATCTGTTCTTAAAAGAGTGTCTGGTGGGCTTAACTGTTCCCAAATAGGGAAGAGGTTTTCCTTCCGTCTAACTGAACTTGTTGCTCTTCATATTTAAGTTGGGTTTCTTCTGTTTACATGATGTGAATATTGAGCATTGCTTGGCAGTACCACTAAAACTTAAAAACAAACAAAAAAACTTAAAGCTAGGTCTACCTTAGTGATATCGCAGGTTCAGTTCCAGACCACCACAATAAAGCAAATTTCTTAATAGAGCAAGACACAATTTTTTGGTTTCTCAGTATATATAGAAGTTATGTTAAAACTATATTAGTCTATTAAGTGTGCAATAGCATTATGTCTAAAAAATGTGCATACTTTATTGCTAAAAAAAATGCTAAGCATCATCAGAGCCTGTTGTAAAATAGTGCCCATTGACTTGCTTGATGTAGGATTGCCACAAACCTTCCGTTTGCAAAATAAGACATTATCTGCAAAGCACCATAAGGCGAAGAGCAATAAAATAAGGTGTGCCTGTAATGCTTTCTGTGAACACCTCATTTCCCTCTCTTCAGAAGTTCCATTTTCTAGCCTTCAGTCATTTTATTACTCCTCTGAGTTCTTGCCATATTTTATGCGCATTTACAAAATATGCCCCTCCACTACTGAGGAAAGGAAGTGAGAGAGATGGGGGAGAAGACATTAGAAGGG